CTCCCACCCTGGCGCCCCCGCCACACCTGGCTGGTCATGATGAAGCACACGCACAGGTTGGCCAGCAGTATCGCGGGCAGCGCCAGCAGGTCCTCTGCCCCCGCTGCCACCAGGGGCTGGTAGTAGGCGGTGGCGTCCGCGTAGCGCTCCTTGGGGGGTGAAATGGTAGAATGCACAAAGGGGGCGTGACTCGCGGGTGTGATGGAAGCAGGTGCACGGTGTGAGATGTTGGGATTGTTGTACTGTACGCGGAGTGGTGAGACAATCGAGACCAAAGCCTTGGTGAGCCCAGATGTCGCAACCATCTTTCACCAAGCACACCACCCCCTTCCCTCCTTCCCACAGCCGCAGAGAGTCTGCCCTGCCCCCGTCGCAGCAGCAGCCCCATTCCCACCTGCATAAAGCACGTGTGTGCCATGTTGACGCGCCAGGCGGGGTGCTCGCTGCAGAACTCAGCGGAGGCCCTCAGCAGCCGCTCCACCGAGCTCCAGGCCTCGCGCTCCCAGTAGATGCCCGCCATGGCCATAAAGACTGGCAGGCGGGTGCGCGTCGCCGATGGTGGGAATCAGGGCTTGAAGGTGATTGGGACTCACTGGGGCTCTGCTGCGCAGATCCAACAAATCAAGGCACCGCATGGCATGCAGGGGCCGCAGTTACCAGGACAGGGGTGGGTGCTTGGCGGCCAAGGGTCTTCCCAATATGATGCGTCCCGCATCCCGGCCTGGGCACATTGCTTGGCAATGCACGCTCTGGATGCCTCCGCTGCTTAAACAAGCCACCTCCCCCTCGCTCTGGCTGACCTGGCATATAGCGCTCCAGGGCGTCATCATACTGCTGGATGGCAGAGCGGATGGCTTCGTTGTCCCGCGCCAGGCGCGCATCCTGGGCGGGTGGCGGGCGCATGGAGCGAGGGGGGTGCGATGCGAGAGGTCCGGCAAGTGTGCAATGCAGTGGATGTGCCGCCCACCTGGAAGGAACCTGTGTGGAGCAGCGGAATCGAGGTACGAACTGTGGGCAGATGTTGGTGAGCAAAGCGCCCCTTGCTTGCTGACTGCGCCTCGCCCTCCTGCTGGCCGGCCGCGCCCACCTGTAGGGAGCGCGTGAGGCCCCTCAGCGCCGCCACATGGCGCCCCGCCAGCGCGTCAAGGCGGGACAGGGCCTCGTCGGGCGCTGTGGTGCGCATGAGAATCGCAGACAGCAGCTCAGACAGGTCCTGGGGGGGGGGGGGGGTGTGTGGCAGTGGGGCGATTTGGAGAGAGAGTACGGATGAGTTGCGGAGGGCAGGGCTTTGCTGTAGTGCCACATTGTGCAGGCGAGGCAGCCAAGCCAGAGGGAGGGGAATGCATTTGGTCCGGCACTGTTTAAAAAGCGCCGCTTCGCAAGCACTAGGCTACACATGCACTGGCCTTGTGCAGACCCCAAGGCCTGGAGTGCGCTGGGAGCGGTTATCTTGCAGAACTCGACCACACAAGAGAGTGCCCCTGAGGAAATGTGTGCATACGCACGCACGCACGCACACACGTAGGCACGCACGCACGCACGCATGCACGCATGCAAAAACGCACAAGCGCTTTTATTTTTTCTCACTTACTCAACTGCATGCACACCAACGCGCGCGTTGACATGTTCACTCACACGCGCACACACACATACACGCGCACGCTCGCATGCACGCACACACGCACGCATGCACGCACACACACACACACACACACACACACACACACACACGCACGCACGCACACACACACACACACACACACACACATCTTGCTGTTTGCACGAATGCCCCCCTTTCCTCCGCACACCTTTGTCAGCAGTGTCTGGCACAGCCCCGGGTTGTCGGCCATGACGTCAGCGGCCAGGTCCAGGAAGGTGTGGCGGGGGCTGGCGTACAGCAGCAGCAGGTTCGGGAACGTCTCGGGCGGGAAGGTGCCTGGTCAGGGGGGGCCGTGTGGTCCGAACGGGAGCCGTGGGGATTTGGTTGTGATGGAGCGGAGGACTGTGTGGACCCGAGCGGGCCGGAGGGATAGCAGCACGACACAGCGCAGCCCCCGAGAAAACATTGACCGTGCACCAACCAGGGCTGCCTTTTAGCTATTGTGTGATAGAGGCGGCTCATGTCATCAACGTGCACTTGCACATGTGTGCAAAGGCCCCATGATGGCCCTCACAAGTCAAGCGCCCTCCCCCTCGCATTTTTCCCGCACCCACGCCTCACGCCCGGCCCCCACCCCTCTCACCCAGGCCCAGCAGGTAGTTCAGCTTCCTGAAGCCGCCCGAGGGGTCCCCCTCCATGCCGGCCAGGGCGCTGTTGTGCAGCGTCACGGGATCCAGCTCCTCCTCACACCTGGCGCGACACAAGGGGGCAGGCGCGGGGGGGCGCCGTGAGCGGGGTTGCGGGGGCGAAGGGCAGGGCGCAAGCAGGTCAGGGGGCTAGGAGGGGGGGGGGGCGGCGGCGGGGACAGGCAGGCCGTGCCATCGCAAATGGGGATCACAGCCGCGCGTACAATTTCAGTCAAGATGACTGGTGTTTTTGTGTCACGGCCATTGCAGCAGCATCAAACATCAGCAAGGACCCGCTGTCTCGGCAGCATCGCTCCAGGCAGCAGGTCAGCGGCCGACTCCCAGCTGCGCCTGGGCTGCACCTGGGCGGCATGTCGGCCAGCGCCTCCCGCGCCCCCGCGGGGTTGCCCACCGCCATCTCGACCGCGGCCTTCAGGTTGAAGGCCTCCACCAGCGCGGCCTCGCGCAGCGCCTGGCTGTTGCCCACGCTCAGGGGGCCGCCGCCGCCCGCGCCGCCGCCGCTGCCGCCCGCAGCGCCGGCGGACGCGCTGCGGGTATGGGGGGGAGCCGGAGGGGTGTTGGGAACGGGCAGGCCATGAGCGGCGCTTCGAAGCTCTCATAGTGGCTGCAGCCGCGGCGGGCCTACGAGTGCCGAGTGAGCGGCTTGATTGACCTGCCGCTGCCATGCGTAGGTGAGGGGCTGATGTGCAGCAGTGCCGCAACGCGGCTCAGGTGCCCCCGCACCTGCCCACCCCCAGCTCCGGGTGCTCCCGAACGCCGCGCTCCACAATCTCCGCGACCAGCTTGAGGGCGGCCCCGTGGCGCCGCAGCTTGAAGTGGCAGAGGGCCGCGGCATACAGCAGTTC